CGTGAGGAGGGGGGTCAGGGGATGGTGCCCCCACCCCACCCAGGGCTGCTCCGGGGTCCCGTTGGGGTCGGTGGGGTGGCCCTTGGCCCCTTAGTGGTGGTGGCAGGAACCCGGTTTGGGTTGGGGGGTCCCAGCTGCGGCCCCCCCCCCCCAGCTCCCTCAGTTCTCCAGCCCCTTCCCCAGCTCCCTTCCCAGCTCTGGACACGCTCCAGCCCCTCAATGTCTCTCTTGCCGTGAGGGCCCAGAACTGGGCACAGCCCTGGAGGGGCCTCAGCAGTGCAGAAGAGCCTCCCAAAGAGCGTGTCCTGCCCTCACCTTGACCAGGTGAGGCCGGACCAGGGTGACGATGGACGTGTAACGCTCCAGCACGGGCGGGAACCCCACCTCCAGCTGGGCCTTGATGTGCCCCGCGCGCCGCGACACCACCACCGACTTCTTGCACCAGGGCACGAAGTTCTTGTAGTCCTCCACGTTGGCCACCACGTCGTACATCTCCTGCATCGAGTACCTGGGGGGCACAGCGGGTGTTGGGGCCGGGGGGACGGTGCCCGGTGCCCCCCCAGGCCCCCCGACGTACCCGATGATGCGCCGCTCCGAGTACTCCTTGCGCTTGTTGGTGAGGCTCAGGAAGGTCCTGCTGGGCTGGGAACGGGGCTCCCAGGGCGCAGGGCCCGGCCTGGCCAGGCGGGAGAGCCGGAGGCCACACAGGGCTGCGTGTCTGGGGGGACACGGGGGGTGCCGGGACGGGGCCAGGGGGGCAGCCCCGGGACCACCGCGGTGGTGGGGCCCTGCCTGCCCTTCCCAGGCCCCTTCCTGCCCTTCCCAGGCCCCTTCCTGCCCTTCCCAAGCTTCTTCCAGCCCTTCCTAGGCCTCTTCCCAACTGACCCGGCCCCCTTCCACCCCTTCCTAGGTCCCTTCCTGACCAGCCCAGGCCCCTCCCGGGATGGGAATCACCCCCGGGGAGTTCAGTCCCAGACGAGCTCTTGGCAGGAGGAGGAGGAGGAGGAGGAGGAGGAAGGCCAGGAAACCCGAGCTCAGGGACACCTAATCCCGGTGTTGGAGCAGGGACAACTGCCCGGTGCCCCCCCTGGAGCTTCTCCTCCTCTGGCCCCATCTCATCCCTCCGGGGTCATTCCAGGGGGGCAACAAGGAGAGGCAGAGCCCCAGGGGGGAAGATCCCACCTCTCCCCCTGTCACTTGTCACCTGTCACATCACTGGGGGGTTCCACCCTGGTGGTGTCCCTTGGCTGGGCTGCCCCGGGGGTCCCGGGGAGCGCTGGGACCCCCCGAGGAGGTCGGTCTCGTCCCCCCCAGCTCTGCCGGTGCTGCCACACCGAGCCCCGGGCAGGGAGGTACCGGGCCACAGTGTCCCCGCACCGCTCTCCCCGCGTCCCGTCCCCGCGCAGAGGTCACTGTCCCCCCGGGGGGCCGCGGGGCTGTCCCCGCGCTGGCGGGACCGTGACGCCGCTGCCGAACCCACGGCCGGGGGCCTCTGACGGGGACCGGGGGCGGCGGCGCCGCGGGACCCCCGGGACCCCCCGTGTCCCCACGGTGCCCCCGCGCGACCCCCGCCCTGAGGGGTCCCGGGAGTGCAGGCAGGCCCCGAGGAGACCTCGCAGCGCGATCGTCCCCTCGGGGCCCGCCCCGGTTCCCCCGGGACCGGTGTGACCTCCGGGCCCCGCCCGGCCCGCTGCCGCCGCCGCTCACCTGCAGGGCGGGGCCGCCCCGGCCCGCAGGCGCTGCCGCGCCCCGAGCTGGAGGGCACCGCGGAGCCGCCGGGCCGCCATGAGCGGGCCGGGACCGGGACCGGGACCGGGCCGGGCCGGGGCCGCCGCCGTGAACTCTCACCCCGTGACGTCACCGCGTCGCCATAGCGCCAGGTACGTCACGGGGCGCCGCCCCCGCGCGGGGTACCAAGGGAGTTGTAGTCGCGGTCGCGCGTGGGGGACAATGGGAAGTGTAGTCCAGGCCGGGCCCCACCGGGCACCGCGGGGCCTGTGGCCCGAACACCCCCCGGCAGCCCCGGCTGGGACGGACCCGGTGGGTCCCGGCGG